CCTGTCGGCGCCGACAGGTTGGTCATATTAAAGACAGGTTTTAACGCAGCATTTAGTTCAGTCATTTGGAAATAAATAAGACTTTTCAGAATATATATTTTCAAAATACCATAAAATAAAGCTAAAGAAATGATATAAATATTTTTTTTCTTAAATCCTTCTCTATTATCAAAGAATTAAAAATAAAAATGAGCATTTTTTTATGCACTTAAGTTAATTAAACTTTCAAAATATTGCATCTTAAGCGCTGGAAAGTCAGATACCTTGCAAGATTTAGCTTTTTCAGAATATACTTCAAATGCAATTGAATCAAGCTATTTTTGGAATGCGAATTACAAGTCCAGTGATCTTGTGGCAATAATATTTTCATCCCTTCAAGTAGATCAAACAGAGCTTTGTTAAATGCATGTTTCATGCAGCAAATCGAGGCAACATTTCAAGAGCAACATATTATGAAAAATGTTGGCTCCGCTCCCACAGTGCTTCTTCAGCAAATGTGCAGCGATTCAGAACGTCGTGCTTTTTCAGCCTCAACCGACGGAAGATAATCGGCTTCACATTGAAGTCGAGACACGTTTTGTTCTTTGAATTCTTCAGTGAACGAGGCCAAATGATCAGATTTAGTTGAAATCGGAAGAAAACCCTTCCTGTGCTCCCATTTCTCTCTAGGCAGTAGATTTCCCACTTGCATACATTACCAGTCAGCCTGTCTGCAGCCTTCTGCCAACATCCATCACACTAATGCAAGAGGAGGCATTTGTTTACAAATCAGTTCTAATGTTTTTAACCGTCTTGAAAGATTATTCTTGGTATATTTTCCTCATTGAATGTTTTACTTACACGGGTTATCTTCATCTGACAAAAAACAATAAATAAATAATTCCAGACCATGAAAAAAAAAAAAAAAAGGCTTCATGGTCTGGAGCATGTATGTATGGCAAACTAGCAAAAACATAATCTGTAAGGTGACACATCCTTTTCCACAGTGCTATAGAAATTGCTATTTTATTTATTCTACTTTAGAAGTGACGCATATACAGATCACTAGGTCTACTGGACTTGAACTCAGGATGTTTTCAGAAGTTAAAATCGTCCTATAGCACATTGTTCTACAGGGACATGTTTACTGCTTTTAAGTGAATTTCACCACTCATCCAAATTAAATATAAACAATTGTATTACTTCCTATTTTAAGATATGAAAAAGTGAGCAAGGGCGCTGCTTTCCGAAGACTGGAGTTGGCTGCAACAGCAATATTGTAAATGAACCACTGGGTGTCGCCATAGAGCAGGTGTTTTCAACCCCAGTCCTCAAGGAGTTGAAAACGCATCTGCAACTTTCAGACGTCTCCCGGTCCAGCAGACCCGAGTCAAATGGCTGAATTTCCTCCTCCGCAAGTTTTCCAGAGTCCTGCCGAAGAGTCCCCTGATTATTTGACTCAAGTGTGCTCAAGCAGAGACGTATCTAAAAGTTGAAGGACACTGGAACTCGAGGACTGACGTCGAGTGCCTCTGCCGTAGTGGCTCCGTCCAAGCCCAACTTGCCTCGTCAAATGTAACATGAAACACAAAACTCGAGGGTTAATTCGTGGCTTGAAATGTTTGTACTCATTGTTTGACAATTTCACATTTAGCTTCACTCAAGGTACTTCAAAAGCCATGCACATGTGTCAGCGCGGTCAACGCAACAAGATACGTCCCAAAGCTCTGCTCCTATTTGACCTTAGTCAAGCCCTTTTAGCCTCTTACACTAAATAACTTACCAGGAGACTTCAGTCAGGTTGACGAGGGTTCAGGAAGCCTCGGGCAACACGGTGGGATTGGCAGTTCAAAGCTTTGAACTAGAATGAGCCTGTTACACTAACACACACACGCACACACACGCACAAAACATTCCCTAAATTAAACTTTGCAGGAATTTTTTGAAAGAAAGGAGAGCACAGAGACTTTTTTTTTTTTTTTTTGTAACGGAGATGTTTATTTAGACAACTGAATGCATGCCAGAAAGAACTGTGTCACAGCAGCGGCAACTCTCTGCTCTCTCATACTTCTAAATCTCAGGGAGAAACAAACTTCCGAGTGCTTTTGCGGAACAAGATATGCTCTAATTTATTGTATTAACACTTTACTTTCATGAAGTTGAGGAGAGGGGGGAGGGACACAGTAGATGCCATCTTCGAATCAAAGGTTAAGGGGGTTTTGGGGGGGAAAGATCCTCAACGGCTTTGGCCAGAATGTTTGTCATTCATGTCACTGTTTTGGCAAAAAGACAAAAAAAGAAAAAAAAATGTTCAAGGGAATTGTAGCTCTCACACAAAACACGTAAAAAGACGATAGAAAAAGATGCACTTACTGTAAGGTAGCATTCACATGCAGTATAACGTGTCTTCTCCTCAGACTAGATTTAACAATATTCTCCACTATTTCTTACAGAGATTCACAGCTAATGTTTTTCAGTTTGGAGAATTATCTTACACATAACAGCTACTAGGTGAAACGAGGACGTGGCGGACGGGTCGAGAGAGAGAGAGAGAGAGAAAGAGGACATGACGAAAGGCAAGAGAGATCAAAATTGTGCTTATCGTTGTCAAAAATGAGATTAGTGAAGCCACAAAAAAGTTGACACTTTTATCCTCCCCCCCCCCTCCTACAAAAGGGGGACGCTCTTCAATAAAACTTTAGCCAGTTGGTCCGGTAATTAGACTTTGTTGCTGATGCCATCGTTTTTGCAAATGCACTGATGAGCAAAAATATATCAAAAATAAATCCAACCCTTTCACGAAAAAAAAGAACAATAAATAATAATTAAATGGTGCTCTTGTACTGTAATTTTACTGTATATACACAGATAGTTAAGGTTGATGTATATATGTACACAAAGCAATTCAGACTGGGTTTTCAGCATAGCTGTGAACTGGGATTTTTGTCCCAGTTTTTATTCATTAAAAAAAAAAAAGTATTAACATCATAAGTTACTCAGGAAATTCAGGGGGCAGATGGGATTATGCACATAAAGAACAGGGCAGTGCCTTACAATAGTATTCCTAAACTTTGTCGCGTTTTTGTCTCGTCGCGACGACAAACCTCGACACGCTTTCGTCCGCTACGACAAAGTGGTGGACACAGTCGTGAAATGGAAAGAATAGGATGCAAGCTTCTCCAAACTTTTCACAAGGACAAATCTGAAAAGTGTGGCATGCATTTTTATTCAGCACCCTTTAATGTTGATACCCGTAAATATAAAAAAAAAAGAAAAAAAAAGAAGCAAAACAACAAACAGCCTTTAGAAGTTACCTAATTAACAGTGTGCACCTCTGTGTACGTTATTATCAACGTAAATACAGCTAAACTGTGGAGGCCTCACAGGCTTCCTAATGGACAATATTGAACAAACAGCATCATGAAGACCAAGGAACTTGGCAGACAGGTTGAAGAAGTTGTGGAGAAGTTTAAAGTAAAGTTACGCTATGAAACTACATCCCAAGCTATGGCCAAATATAGAGTGATGCTTCATCTGATACCTGAAAATCAAAGGAGGTACACGGCAGCTGCAAACCCCTAAGACTAGCTTAACTTGACAGGCTGGTGAGGGAGAGCACAATCAAAAAAGCAACCAAAGGTGGAGATCGCGGAAACATCGACATCTCAGATGCTGTCTGTTGGGAAACTATCAAGTCACACACTCCTGAAATCTGTCCCAAATTAGTTGGACCAGATTAATTAGGGGCCAATTAATGACTAGAAAATTACTAATAGAAAAAAATCGAGAGCCACGTGTCCATTTCTTTCCACCTCACAGTAATGTGCAACTTTATGCTGGGCTATGTCATAAAATCTTGAAAATACACGAGTATTTGAAATAGTTTGCTGCGAAAGGCTTAACTGATGCGAGTACTTTTGCAAGGAACTGTCTTTTCTTTTTTTAGAGGATCTGTGCACCTCGATCGAGGGCAGATTGCGAAAAAGAAAGCAAACGTAACAGGAAACTCAGACTCTCGTAAGGTAAGGAGTAAAGAAAATAGCTTATTAAAATATTGATTGACAACAACATGCACAATGCCTTCCCAGCCTCAGAGGAATTGGTTATGATGAAGAACTTGGTCTGCACAGTGGTATAACTTTGCATGTTTCCTTTGTTTTTTTGTTTTTTTTTCTTCTTCGTTTGAAGACTACTGGTGCAAGCCGTGCACACGTCGAGGTGAACCCTTCTCTTTCCCGCTTTGAGGGCGCTGTTGCTGCTCTGCTCTTCTCCTTACAAAGTTCTTCAGAATACGACTTTTCCAACCACTTTCCTAGTGTATCAAGTTCACACGTGGAAGCAGGTCGCAGCGGATCATTCGTTTCTGCTTTGCGCAAAATGTCTGCAAATGTATGAGCGTCTCTGCGGCTGTCCCATCAGCGTTAGAAGTCAGACAAATCCGTGACTTAACTTTTTTTTTTTTTTTTCAGTCCCAGTCTTATATTTCTAGCTTATGTACAGGAGGTTTGAAAGGGCGTCTGCCAGAATGTATTCCCAGGCAAACAGGCGTGTTCTTGCAACTTTGTCGAACGCATTCCCGGTTTTCAATCCTCTGCTCGTCCTTTTCACAAGTTCTGTCCAGTCGTCTTGCTTTTGTTACAAGGATGTAGTTCATGTATGTTATGTCAGAAAATGTGCTGGATGTTTTTTGTTTGTTTTTGTTTTTTTTTATATTATACTGGATTCACAACCCATAGTATGAGCTGATGCGGATGCATGGCTTTGTGCTTGTGTAGATTTGCTTGAAGGTGTGCATCCCAGCTCCTTTTCTCAAACGCTACGTGGGGGTCTCTGGAGCTCATGGGTCCTCCTGTTGCGTCCCTTCTTGTTTTCCTGCATCCGTCTCCATTTTGCCGTGTGCTGGCTGCTGACCCGAGTGCCCCCCGCGACCTGCGACCCGCCCTGCGCCTTTGCTCCGTTCTGCGTCTTCGGGCCACTTTTAGGGGCCGTGCTCAGATTCGGTTGACCTTTCTGGTTGCTCTGGCTCCGAGTTGGCCCCTCCCCCACCGGATCTCCAGCTTGAAGCCACGGCCTGCTGTTTGGCGGACTGGCCTGCTGTTTCTGAGCGGTGGGGGCCGCAGCTTTGGGTCGCGCCGCGGAGCTCGGGGCACCGTCAGGTTTGCCGTTGCTGTTGGGAGCTTTCGCCTTCTTCTGTTTGCGCTCTTTCTTCCAAACTCTGTCACAAAATTCCTCCACGCTGTTCAGCTCCGGGTGGTCTAAGAGAGACAGGAAATCTCTGTACCAGACCCTGTGCTTGGCCGAGTTACCTGCGCCGGCCCCTGCGCTGGGAAGCCCGGGCAGAATGTCCCCCAGTCTCTGGGTTGGGATGACCTGCAGGTTGAGACGCAGCAGGGGCTGAATGAAGCCGTGCTCCACCGCCTGGCAGTGATAGACTCCCGTGTCAGACAGGGACAGGCTGCGGATCAGCAGACCCTGGTCTGTGCGCAGCACCCGGTCATCCATCTTAATCTGACAGAGAAACACAGACGCAACAAGAACACAAATTAGGAGCAATACAGAGAAAGCTTAATGAGTCTAAACCACATTTAATCTATGCACAACTTTTCACGGACCAACTTTTTAGTTTTATGTCTTAGGCTTTAGTGGCCTTTCTTGTACAGGAAGTGGACAGGAAATAAGGGGGAGAGAAAAGGGAAGACATGCAGCAAACGATCCGAGACTGGAAACTGAACCCAAGTGCGTTAAGATCGGCAGCCTGCCACTGCAAACTGAGCCGCACAGCGCCCCGTTAATAACATTTACACCCAATTTCTTTGTTGTGTATTTAAACAAATAGCAACTTTAAGACGACTGCCGATGAAGCGGTGCGCAAAGTCACCTGTCACTGTTATGTCATATTTAAATACCATGTATCCCGACTTTTCGACTTCACTTTATGCACCACTTCCTGTTGTGCCATAACATAAAATCCCAATTGCAGTTTGTGGCGTTGAAAAAGGCTAAGGGAAGGCTCTGCCCGCTCGTTTTGTTTTTACATCGACACGTATCATATTCTGTGTTTCTAATCCAGCTGTAATATCCGTTCAGGCCAACTTATAAAACGTCTTTGTTTTGCATCAGATAAACCTTCGGACCCACTGCTCTGTAGCTCAACTCGGCTTCCTGTATCCCATTTCTGTCTCTTGCCAGATCTTGAAACAACACGCTCTCACTGACCAGCTAGAAAAATAACGCCACAGCGCCAATCTTTTCAAAATGTAATTGGTTACATCCTCGGGTCAAGAAAGCGACCCTATACATCCACACCCATGGCTTTTTCTGCACTTTGAGTTCCGTGGACTAAAGATAACAAAGGTTTTGGCTCAGAGAATAGGGCAAGGGGGTAAAAAGTCATTTTATCTGCAAAATTTATAGATTTTTTTTTTTATCGCTTATAATCTATACTGCAAAGGCACATCCAGAAATTTCCCCGTTCTTCAAAGATGCTCCCCATTTGACACAAAACGGCACATGCTCGCACAAATGCGCACACAAACCTCCTGCTTGCGGTCATCATTGGGCCTCTGCAGCTGCCAGTAAATCAGCGCTCTTTGAGATTTGGGGCTGCACTCCAGAAACATGCTGCTGTTTTCCACACCGAACACACTCCTGTCCTCTATGCTGCCTCCCAAACCATCCACGTCGTCTAACGAAAGAAAAAAACAGTCAGAGAAATTATCAATGGAAGACGGCGCGTGTGTGGGAAGTAGTTGTTTTGAGTACCGTGATGTTGAAGGTCTGAGCACTGCGAGAGCGGATCTCCGTTTCTGATGTCTTGTCGCCTGGTTCTCCTGTGGTTGAAACGACAGTTTAAAAGACTGTTGGCAATGAGAACATCAGGGAAGAAATCCATGTTATGCCGACCCCCTTGCCACCAGTTTTTTTGTCATGCACTGTTCGATTTCAAACACTAGAGGGTAATATTACCCAACGCAGCTGAAGAATGGCATGGAGTTCACGCTTCATACCACTGCTTATTCGCATAAATGGAGCAAAAATAAACAATAAACCCTAGAATCTGGAGAGAAAGTCAGAAACGTAAGCCTGCTAATCAAGGCAATGCCTCGCTTCATTTCCCTCCGCGGAGCCGATGTTACAGAACACATTCTGAACTGTTCTGCCATTGAGAAAAGCCTCTGGTTTTTTTTTTTTTTGTCATCTCTTTGTGAAATTCCACTACGTCATTTGGGTTTCTAACATAATGGTGAAGCATTTTCATAGTGCGGCTTTACTGACTAGCTGTGAATGTCCCCCCCGCCTCTAACTGTCACGGTTTAAAACTGTTGACAGGCCGACTCGTGATGTAAGAAGAAAATGAGGTGAGCTCAACATGAGGGCTGAACGGAAAGACGCTGAGCAGCAGAAACAAAACAAAAAAGACATAAAAAGTTTGTTAAAATGGTCAGTAAATAATGTTTTTGAATTTTTTTTTTTTTTCAACATTCGTCACGTTATAACCACAAACATTTTTTGGAATTTTATAAAATGCAAATTCGTGCATAATTGCTACTTAGAAGAAAAATGATACATGCTTCTTCTTCTTTTTTTTTTTTAAAAACTCTTTATTCTGGCACCCAGAAATAAAATCAAACGCAATTGCAATCTGAAAATGAACAGAGTGTGGCACGACTGCCACCTAAGCAAGAGGCGCATTAATTGGAGAAGAAACCAAGAGGATCACAGTAACTTTTATAATTAATCTGGAGAAATTATAGAGAATTAGACATGCACACTACAATTCTGGCGTTTATGGAAAAATGGCAAAAAGAACTCGACTCCACATCACTGTCGATACGAGATCTGTCTATGGTAGTGGCAGCATCATGCTGTGGGAACAGTTTTGTCCAGCAGGGAAAAATGATTGCATTTTTATTTAGCAGTGTGGGACCAATGACAAATGCATAATCTATCTTATCAAGTCTTATTCAACGTCATGAACTACTTTGTGTTGGTCTATCACGTAAATTCCAAGAAAATATGTTTTCAAATCCAAAAAAAATAAAAATAAAAAATGTAAATAAGGGATGTTCTCTCCTCTTCCCTGCTTTAACAACGTGTTCTCTGCTGCTCAAACACTCTCTGTGCATTTCGTGGGTTGGCATTTCTGTCTTTTTATGTCCCTTTCTTCTTCAAGGGAGGAAAACTATGTGCCGTGTCGACGAGACCTGAGAGGAGCCAGGCCTGGCCTTTAACCATGGGGTGTGCCATCTCGGCTGTCACCCTGCCAGGCTGGAGTAAACTCACTGGCCCAATTCTGCTGGTGTGAGAAGTCCTGGATGAATGAGACAGACGGCTGGTGTTGCTCGATGTGTGCGAGAGCTGCAGCGGTCGGCTCAAGCCTGCTGGTTACAGCGCCGGGTAATTTGAGGGTGTTCATACCTCCTGGCTGCAGGGTGAAGCGGTCAGACAGCTCCTGTTGGCTATAATTTAGTGCATGTGAGCTGGAGTATGTATATTTATGAGTGCGTGTGTGTGCGTGTGTAGCCTGGGCTGTGGGGTGATGGACACAAAATTGCTGCTGGCAGGAATACTAACCCAGGTTCCCGGATTGTATTTCTTGGAATGCATACTTGTGCTTGCGCGTATTTAACGAGAGTTATTTTGTGTGTGTGTGTCTGTAATAATCTGATCACTTCCATGTTTAGGTGGTCTGGCATGTGAATTGTGTCTATGTTTTTTCTTTTCTTTTTGTTAGATTTTTTTTAGCCACACCTTCAAATGCAGCTTGCAGGTGTAGTGATAGCTCCGAGGAGCGACTATATTCATTGACGTGATTAGAAAGAAAAGACATACGGCCGTAGCAAATTCTCAGAGGACAAGCAAAGCTTAAAGAGGAGTTTTCAATGTGTCTAAGCTCCTACCTCTTGGCGGTAGGAAAGTATCTGGAGCACTCAGCGCCATCCCAAGCGCAGTAAGGGTCTCTGGCCAGGCAGCACTCGGCGCAGGCTTTCCCATACACCTCGCAGCGGTGTAAGGACATCTGTGATACTCCCAGGGCTGAGCCGAGGTACAGCTGTTGCTGTGGGAGCGAAAGGAAAGGCGAGCACGTAAAATTAAACGTCCCCGCGTGGCTCGACTGGAAAATTACTCGCAAAGAAAAGAAGTCGCTTGTGGGTTTTTGTTGTTGGAAGGAGGGACGTGACCTCCGTTTGGTGAAAAACCAACAAGCGCTTCTTCAATCACTTGGCTTGAACATTTACGGTGTAACGATGCCGTGTGAAAACAAGCTTTTACCTGTTTGGTGGAAAGCTCCATAGCCGTAATGGGAGTGGGCTCCTGCGCAAAACAAACACGAGGCAGTGAAGTTCACAATACGAGTGATGAAAAACACGGAGGTGGAAAAAAAAAAAAAAAAAAAAAGATCTGCAATACAGACAATCTGGTAGAATCGCTTCGTTTTCGACGCCTTACCCTGAAAACGGTCATCTCCTCGAGCACAACCTCCTCCAGGTCATGCCAGCTCTCTCTGGGAATCGTTACCACTTTTAGCACTGTTCCCATATCTGAAGAAAACAGATGAAAATATAACAAAGTGCGTCTGACTCATTGTTTTTTTTTTAACTTTCTAGACTAGGTCAACTGATCCAAATACTTAAATCCCCCCATGCATCTTTTCTCTCAGTCATTTCACTCCTCCATTGCCCAATACGGTGCATTTAAGCATTTTCAAATGTGAGACGACTCGGCCATTTATGCCCCTCTTCTGTCAGCGGGGGGAATAGATTGATCGAGTGTGGTCAAAATCGCTGTGGTAAAGTGAGCTTGAGAAAGAATGAGGAGCTGAGGCAGAAGTCATGAGAACAAAACCGAGACATAAATACTCATTTTCTGATCACTTCACAGCAGTTAAGACCAACAAAGAACAACCATTTAGGGATGGATCTTTTGGTTAGCCCAGCAGATGCTGCATTTTTCCCCCCCTCTTCCAGCAGCTGGTTCTAGCAGATGTACTGTAGTAGGAAATGTAGTGTCTTGTACTATTTCAGAATTTTGTATTTTTTTTTTCCATGTCACAGGTCAACACAGTGAAGCGCATAATTGAGAAAAATTAGAAATGGTTTAAAAATTGTTATCGTAATACAAGTCCTAAAAGTGTAGAGTGCATTTGTCATTTATTCAGTGTATAAACCCAGTTGCTCCGTGGCGCTGCTAGTAGAGACGTGAAAACTACTCAAATATAGAACTAGATACCCTAGAACAATAGGGAAGGGTTTGACAACATTCCTAAAAAAACAAACACAACGGAATGGTTTAGATAACGTTCGGCGCAGACCTGCAGATTGAAAAGATGTCCACAGTTTTTTTTTTTTTTTGTCTGTAAAAGTTTTAAAACATTGCTTTCTTTTCTTTCCACTTTAAAACGACATGCTTCTCTGTGTTTCCCAGGACATAAAATCTCAGTGTACCATCATGTCTGTTGTTGTGTGTGTTTGCAAGAAGCCACCGTGAGTCTGCTTCAGGCTAATGTGCTTCGATTGAAAGAAAAGAAAAGTGCAAAATTAACTAGAAGCTTTTATCGGACGAAGCTGCCACGCCTGACGAAGAATTGTACCTGTGCCTATGAACATGACATCGTATTGCCCGTCCTCTGCTTCGACTCTGTCCACCACTAGCTGGGAGAACTGGTAGTCCACATCCGTTCGAACCATGATGGGCCGTCCCCCAATTGGGTGCACTGGGTTGTACATGGCAGGATGACCCCTGGCGAAGGTGATGACATCGTCTGGAAGGTCCTTGGTGGAATCAAAACCTCCGAATGTTTTGCTGGGGCACTAAAATGTAAAAAAAAAAAAATAATTCAAGCGGTTTTACATATGCACTTCTCTGAAAAAGGTTATGTTCTGCAACTCAACACTTACAGTGCCAGGGCGGGGGTAGGGCACTCTCCCTTGGAAAGGGACCCATTGGTAATTGGGCCCGTCTCTGTGGGCATAGGGACCCAGGAAAACCCTCCTGATGTCAGCCATGCTGTACATGCACACCGCCGAGCCTTTGAATATGTTACTGTGGAGAGAGAACGTCAAACTCAGGAAGGGTGAGAGTGCAAAACTATGCAGAACGGGGAGGGGGAGGAAAGGTTTATTATAGACAAACAAGGGGGATTCATAAATGATTGGGCACAAGGCCGGGATTAGGGTCTTGCGGAACACCGAGGAAAGACAACAAAATGACCCTTCATCACACAAAGATGGAGAGGCGCGAGGCTGTCATTACCTAAGTACTAGATGACAGATTGGAACTTCTCTCTGACTGTTCTCAGCCCCGTGAGAACAGACAGGAATTTGGGCACGCCACCAACAAAACCGAAGACCTGCTAGAGAGCTTTTCTTAAAATCCCTTCCAATATTTTTGCTAGCCTTTGCCTGTGCCAGATGGATGGATTTCGCCTTCCCTGTTCATATGAGCTCCAAACAGGCAAAGAACAGTCATGTGGAAAAGACAGAGTAGGGATGGGTGGGGGGGCGGGAGAGGGGGCACCTATCCAGTCTATGCTTTGTAGGGTCAAACAGATTGCAGCAATTTACGCATTGACTCATCTAGATGGGGAATTTGGTAACTCCCAATGAATATTATATGATCGTACAATGATGCAGTGATAAATTGAACTTAAGTCAATTATAATTCAGTCATGTTTAAAACTTCTTTTTTTTTATTACAGGGCTCCTACACAGTCTATAAAAGGATGGAAGCCTACCCAGCTACCCAACCACTATACACATAAAAACTATAACCTCGAGTCTGGAAAAACGTTGAGTTTCGACATAAAAAAATGTGTAGTCGGAACCTTTGATTTCTCCCTTGGATTATTATTTGATTTAGTCTGTTAGCTCTTAAAAATATTCTAAAGTTTACTCACTTACATCCAGCATTTAATTCAGATTTTCTTTTGCCAGATGCCCACATGTGAGATTTTGTTTCATGAAGCAGATCTTCAGCACATCTTACGAACCAAAATGTCTCAGGAACATTCAAGATGTCCTTTGTGTTCCTGACTGCGGTGGGAATGTGTATCAGGCTAATTAGGGATGTGGCTGGCATACACACACATGGCCAACATTATCCACCAAAGCATGGAAGATGAATGGATTAGCATTTGGAAATGTTAATTACAAAGAAATTCAATTAACTCCAGGGGCAAGAAAAGACACTCCAATATGCGCGCTCGGGAAGACGAGCGGTTATGTGTTTGTGCAGACACACAACCAAAATAATATGCTAAATACACACACACACACGCGCGCACACATGCATACACACGCAGGGGCACAATCCAACATTGATCTGTCAGTTACGGCTTCCGTGTGCCTCATTAAGCAGTGATATTAAAAGTCAGTTCCTTCTGAGTGTCTGGTCTATTCATCTCTGAAAATCGGCCACTTAGAAAACCAATTAAACCCCTTTAATTCCTCAATGCCCCATAATTGAATTTTACAGCCCACGTGTGTGTGTGTGTGTGTGTGTGTGTGCGTGTGTGTGTGATTCTGTGCAGCAGGCGTGCGAACACGTAGGTGGACGCCCGCCAACGCGCGCCAGCCTCAGCAGAGAAAAGCCATACGGGTGTGGCGACGCGAGGCGCCTGTCCGTATGTGTTAGCCCGCACCGCTGTTCCATTCAGCTCGTCTTATCATTGGCTGTGATTGACGGGGAGGTGAGGTGGGGTGGTGGGGGGGGGGGGGGGGGGGGGGGGTTTGTCCTCTTTTGAAGCCCCTCAAACACAGCAGTGGACACAGAAAAAGGGCCCACCCCCCTCCTTTCCCGAATGCAAATGTACCATCATCACGATAAGTGCCACCATCTGTGCCATTTCAGTTCATTTATCTGCCCTTCCCCATGAATTCACCTCTCCACATGCTTAAAAAGAGCCACACCCGGCCCCTGAGAAAATCCCCATTCACGGCTGTGAGTGGTGGCCAGGGAAGGAACGCGCATTCCTGCTAAGTGAATATCATGTTTCTCTGGCTCCCTCATGCTCCGTAATGCGATTTCCCCGGCAAGGTTTGCCAGGGTTTCGATGAGATGGGTGGGGGGTGCAGAGGGTGGGGGGGGGGACAGGTAGCGAGGAATGGGGGAATTGGATGAAAGTAATTCCTAAGCAGAGAAGTGGAGAGGTTTTTGATTGGAGAGGGGAAACAACCGTAGGACACCTGTAAGTGAATTAGAGGAGTGCTGTCTGGGAATTTCGACTGGACCACGCTTGGTCGATCACATTCTCCGCAGAGCTTGAAATGCTAACTAAATTATGCCCAAAAACAAAAAGATAAAGTTATTTAATGATTACCTAATAGAAAATATAAAGCCTATGTTTATAACATACAAAGAAACTGGATTTGCCAACGGAAATAAATCGACTCCTTTTGATCTCCTGGCAGGAAATTGACGAAACAAATACGATATGGCCAGAATTCGTCGCGCTATTTGAGAATTTAAGCCCTTAAAGCAGAGACTGAAGGTCATTGTGTTTAAGGTCTGTACCTTGAAGTGGTGAATACGGCGTAGATAACTGGATTCTTTGGGTCCTTGGAGCTCATGAGAAATACATCCTCTAGAAATCAGACATAAAAATGAGAGAACATTTTAAAACGGATGCTCAACGGTTTTTTTGTTTTCTTTTTTCAGTTTTGCAAATTAAGAACCCACACTTACGCAGTTCATCAAAGTGTGTATCAATGCCATTGACCCCGGGAACTGAACAGATGAGACGAGCCTTTAGAAAAGTAGTCCACTTGTTCACGAGGCTCCTGTGACCTCCCATGTCATTCTGCAGAGAGAAATTACATTTCTGTCAGCTCTACATGTACCCGAAGTACCTCGAGCAGAATTAAATGGGACTGGTGTTGTCATTATGATGAAGATCATGAGAGGGATTTTATTCTGTTTGTGTGTGTTGTTACCTTACACAGTTGTCCGATCCTGGCAATCGTAGCCTTCCCGGTGTGCTCTCCGTCCATTGCGTTCTCCTTAAAAAAGAGGAAGATCTTGTCGTCCTCAGGGTTGTCACTTTCAGGGATCAGGTTTACACCAATAAATCTGGGGTCTGGAGCAAAAAAAAAAAAAAAACATTATTAAAGCATATCTTAACTTGCCTACTGTAATGTTACGGGATGTCCTAATTGGTGAAATTAGGTGAAATATCTGATTTCCTGGCAAAACAATTAATAGTGTCTGTTGTACGTATGTTATTTGCCCTTTATGTGCACTGAATTTATATCATCATTGTAACAAATCTCGGTTTTCTCTTCATGATATTTGTATGACATTTCATGGCATTGGCTAGTACAGCTTCCCAGCTGACTGTTCCTGTTGGGGACAACAATTGTCTAATCTTTTGTGAAGCAAGAACTTTTTTGGTACATTTGGTCTGGGGAAAAGAAGGAAAATACTTTGATCTTTGTGCGTACGTTCTGGATAACACTGTGAAATTAAGCACATTTCGACTACGAGATGTAGAGGTTACACATGGGGAGCAAAAATGTTGCTTCACATAAAAATACATCTTTTATTTTAGACAGAAGCTGTTTCAACTCAGATAAATCTTTAGCAGAAACTCATTTTAGAGCAAAATGAATTTTTTTTTTACATTTAATGAAATGTTTATCCAGGACATGGCATCTTCAAATGTTTATTCATAAATGACTCTGATAGGTTTCAGGGACATCAAAAATCCAGATTGTGACGCACATAATTATTTCTAAATTCCAATTTCAAATCCAGTACTCTGATGTTACGACTCCGAAATCGGTTCGGTTGTATTTTGAGTTATACCTCAGTAAATTCCTAACAGCCCCACACTTTGTGCCATAAGTGCTCCAGATCCAGATTCAATAAAAGCCCCCGTCTCCATACCACATCCTCACAAAAAACGCACGGCTCTTATGACAATTGAATAAATATATAATGGCCGTAAAGTTTGAGAAAATATCAAGGCGATTCGGAAAAGCCTGAATTTAGGTAACTAGCGAGCAGAAAGCTACCACAACCACTAACGGCATCATCACAAAGCGTAAATCGAGCCTCCGTCTGAAAAGCTTGGGGGTTAGCTGGGTAGAAACAAGCAGTGCCATGTTACATCGCTGCAGCCTTTTAGGATATGGAGTAGCCGTGAAAAAGGAGAGTGCGGCCAAAGTGGGGAGCAGATTTATAATCGCCCGCGTTGGTGCGAGGACTCCGTTATAAATCATGTAGACTTCTCGAGACCTTTTTACGACGAACACGGGCTGCTAAACGTACGCCATCAGAAATCTTTTTCAGCTTAAAAAAATAAAAAATAAAAGCGTTTTTCAATTGACCGCACGTGTTATCGACAAAGGAGCTCTTTATTCAGAGGATATCAGAGCCAGATTCAGGGTGAATAAGAATGTGAAGAAATCCATAAATAAACCTAGCAACCTCTAAACTACCATTTAACCTTAAATCCTTTAAGAATCATCTGGTATTACTGATCCATTCCATAGTATTGCTCTTGTTACGTTCGAGTACCATGTAAGCTTGTTGATAAAGGCTCAATGGAAGATCCCCTCCCCAGTAATCCACGCAATTACAATCCTCCCTTTGTTGAGACGCCGTTTGGATTTCGCAGAGCCGAACGGCTGCAATCCCCGGCGTATTTGTTTGAACAAGGTGAAAGATTGATGGGGATTAGAGCTATAACAAAGACTTCTCCCTTCTAAATGACTCCTATTAATACGTCACAGTAATCAGCACCACCGAGACCGGTATTTGTGATTTTGATGCTATGGGTGGGGATTGAGAGGAACTGGAAGGAATTTGACTCCCCTACAGGAAAACAGCTGAAAGTGGATTAGTTCTGTGGGAAAGAGGGAGGAAAAAGGGATGGCGCAGCTTGAGGGAAAAGTTCGAACTGACCTTTTGTGGCTCTCTCGGTCCTCTTGCAGTGGTGATAGATCGCCAGAGAGACTGAGAAGTCAATAACCCTCTCTGCAGCTCTAATCTTACTAGAACAAGAAAAATCCAGTGGCGCTCTGAATGAGCTCTGATATCTGATGTCTGCGTATGAATGGAAATGTTTCAAGACCCGAGGCTTAGGGGAGAATTAAATGCTTCAAAGTCTAATGAAAAGATCAGCTGTGTCTTTTTCGTTTTTTTTTTTTTCTAATTGTGGGCTGTGCTGGTGGTTTAGACCACACTTATCCAATTTTACTTGACAAGTAAATATTGATGAAAGTTGAAAATTTAAAAAGCCAAAAGGTTGGCTTTTTAACAGTTGGTTGAAGAGGAAGGCCACAATTTAGTACAAATACCGTAGCATTAACCAAACCTTAAATTTTGATCATTTACCTACATTCTCTAAGCCGTGACGTTTTGCTTTCCTGCTTCATTGGTTCATGAGTAGTTTACGACTCGGCCAAAAGATAACTCCCACAGCTTTGCTGCTAGAGCTGGTTTCTCAAAAATAACGGCTGCTTTTCAGACCGTTTTAATTTCAGCGCCGTTTTGCTCATACAAATAATAATAATACTTCTCAGAAACTGTAGAGGAAGTCCAAATGTTGGCCATCTCCTCCATCAACTATCTACTGTGGCCACAACAAAGTCCACTTCTTATTGGCTGATCCCGCCCTCATGACATCTCCTCTACAGGAAGCTCTAGCTGTGGGAAGCTGGTGTGGTTTTCAAACGCAAAGTTTAACATTTAAAGGAAGCTTTTCTCCTTCAAAGAGGCTAGAACAGACCCAGGCATACGGCCTTAACAATCTTTGCATACAACATATCTGTCCCAACCTAAAACTGACAAGCGAAGCAACGGGTTTATCTTATTTTTTTTTTCACTTAGATAAAAACAAAATGAGCCAAAAGTTTTAATTAAAGCATTAAAATAAGGAGAGTATGCCTCATTTTTCTGTCTTAAAGAAGAACAAAGTTTATCATACCATTAAGCCATCGTGAATCGTGCTGCTCTGTTCTGATTGGATGATGATCTCCGAGGGTACGGAAAATGGCAAAGTCCCTTCCCATGAAATCAGCAGACGTTCCAGAGTACAGCTCTCCATCTGCCGACGAGTGGTTCCAGTCAGAAATAAAGAACCGTCTCCACGGTGACTGCGTTCGTTCAGGTGATGAAGGCGGCGGTCAAACTCACCAAGCAGGAGTGACGCTGAAAGCATTTTGGGGTCGTAGGGGCTTTTCCCTCTGCCGTTCTCAAATTGGGAGGCCAGTCGGAATATGTTGTCCTGAAAGTGTAAAAGGGGGTCAAAGTTCAACTTGAGGCTAATGAAAGCCGCATATAAGCCCGGTTGAAGGTACATTTATAGTCTGTGTTTCGAGTTACAATATATTCTCATTATAGCGTTCTATTTTGGGCTGGGATGCAAAACAAATTCAGCCTGACATGAGCAGTGAGTAATGTGCTGTTTTTTTTTTATATAACACAGTTGGGCTGTTCTGCCACAGGTCAACAACAGTTTCTGCAACAGTGAAGTGTAAAGTAAAGTAGGAAAGAGCAGAAATAAGTAAGATTTTCTTTTTTTTTTATCCAGTGATGGCACTTTTTTTTTTTAAGCTCAAATATCTAAAATAAGGCCTTAATGGTGAAAGCACTCACAGCTCTGCCCATTAGTGGTCTGCAGAACTCATGCTGGTGCATTGATTAACCTGCAGCCCTCTACTGAGAAAAGTGATTAATCTTTAATATAAGAGAAGAGTTATTTAATATCCAGCTGCTACAACTGGACTATTTGCTTTTCTCACACAAAAGAAAACACAAATGGGAAGGTAATTGCTGTGGTAGGCATTTCAGATTCTGCAGCGGCGGCGTCGCTCTTTACAACAAGCAAGCACTCATTTAAATTGCCTTCTGCATATCCACCAATAGATAAAATAAAAAAAACTAGAACTTTTAAATTATCTCGGAGTATATTAAATAATCAAATACCTCTGCTCTTTTGCCCATTTCCAGATAAGCGCAGATGGGGTGGAAGGCTCCTGTCCCACAGATGTACAGATGGGTCTGGTTATACGGTTGAAGGACCCGGATGAAATTAGAACACTCCTTCTGAAACACAAGTAAAAGAAACACCAGGGCTTTAACATTACAGATAACTTTATACAAGGAATATACAGAACATAAAGCAGGTAAATGACATAGAGAATCTCATTTTGGTACAGACATTTTTAAGAAAATTGTAAAAGCAATCATAGTTATTGAACTTCTACATTTTGTCACAATACAATTTATTTTAAAGGAATTTTAGATAATAAATCAGCGAAAAGCAGTGAATGAGCAGAAAGGAAACACATACATACAATAAAAAAAAAAACGGCAAAAAAAAAAAAACAAAACAAAAAAAACCAACCTGTGGCTTTATTTACATTTATCCACTGAGTTAACATTTTGTAGAACCACCACAACCCTAATCACCCCAATTATGCCAGGTCACGTTTCACATGTCTCTACCAGGCTTGCACATCTGGAGATGGACAATTTTTGGCTTTCTTGTTGCCACTCTTGCATAAAAGCCAGACTTTTACAGGGGGACAACTAATAGCTGTCCTGTCAACAGATCCTCCAACGTGTACAGTGGATCTCTGGCATTCCTCCAAAAACTGCCATGTGCCTCTTGGCTGCTTCTCTGATTTATGCTCTTCTGGACCGGGCTGTTAATTTGGCAGTACGGTTCGGTGTTAGTGGGGCTGCAGTTGTGGAATACTTTTGCCATAGTTTAATGATGGACTGAACAGTGCACTGTGTGCTTCCCATAGGTTGATAGAGTATGTAAGAAACTTATTCCTGATGTAAAAGAAAAAGTTTAGAGGTAGGGATACTTTCATAAGCATTTGGTGTCTTCCAACTGAGGAAAAAAAAAAGAGAAAAGACTAAACACAGAAAGTATCCGGGCTTGGGAGAACAGCTTTGATTAAAATCCAGTATATGAGCGACTTTCCAGTTGGTTTGGAAAGACTCACGAGGCAGAGTCTCCATCAAGGCAACCCCACCTGGAAGTCAAATCAGGGAAATCAGCCGCAGCTCTTTTAATGATCCATGTGCTTGAATTCACACACACACACACACACACACACACTGTTTGGTTTGGCTCTCCTCTAACTTTTGATGGTCCCAGCGGTGTGAGACTGTTTATTAGGGCGCTAATCAGCGGCATTTGTTAATGCAGGAGGCTTATTAGCAGCCTTGAGGAGCTGATTTAGGCACATATGTTTAAGAGATTAAGCTCAGGTTAGCCCAATTATGAATACATGCTCAATATCCGTCGAACAAATCGGTGCACAGCTGCAGGAGGATTTGGAAAAACAGAGCACATCACGTTAGATGACAGCCAAATTACCCCCTTTCTTTCCCTGCCTCTTTAACACACATATATCTGTTCAGACTTTCAAGCTCACAGACGCCTCGTTCTGATTATGTGATGATGCGAGGCAAAAGAAAAAAATGGATGCGGGGCATCAGATTGAAGTGATGACATTTTCCAGAGCAGCATGAATTAACAGTGTGATCACAAGTTACAGTCCTTCCTGCAGCATAAGAAATTTCTGTTATTTTTCTAAAAGGGCAAAACGTGTTGCTTCAGCTCCAACTGTTTTATCTTCCTTGGTAATTTTCCTCAAGGAGAAGCTTTGACATTCTGAGAAATAATGTACTTTGGTTCCTTGTTTAAGAGGGTGGCCGCTCTCTCCGTTTTGTAGAGACGAACTCTACAAAACATTTGGAGATAACTTTCCGGCTGGCTTTCAGTGGCTGGATTGTTAGCCTGCAAGCAGAAAAGACAAAAATTGGGATTTATGCTTTCATGGGTGGCAAGAGGATGAACGTTTTCTTGACTGGACGTCAAATTGGACACAATTTGGTACCAACATCAAACCACGAAAATTGCATGCCATATCACTGTCGCTGTCATTTTGGTTGCAATCATTGGACTTGGTGTCAAATTCCCAGTAAGAAAAGTCACTTTAGTGGGCAACTCATCCTAACTAAAAACAGTTAGGATGTTTAAAAAGATTAGTTAGTATTTTCACACAAAATGAGTCAAAAGTATCAATAATATTGTCCATTTAAAAACGTCAGTAAGACATTTATGCGACTGAACCTGCATGCAGAGCTGCTGCCTTGAACGTATGGGTCTCCGTTCCTTAACGACTTTACCTTCTGTTTCCTCCCGTTGAACTGCCGAAGCCCTCTGTCCACTCACATCATTCTCACGCTCTATTATGTGCATTTCATCAACTTCAATAAAGCCCCTCAAGGGTCAACCGTGTTAAGAATTTAACACGGGCGTCTTTGTTGGAGTCGTCAGCTACGCGGTAGGTAAAGTTGCACCTAAACACTGACAGGTGTTAGGAGCAGTGACACGAGTGCAGCTGTGCGTTGCCCCCCCCCAGTAATAAACCGCTTCCTTGATCACAAAACCGTGACAAACAAAATCCACACGGAGAATAAATGACTCATTTTTGGATAAATTTAATCACTCCTTTTGGACAGGGTGTTGAGCATGACTCCCCGTCAGAGAAATGGGTGGACAGATTTGGACATGTGTGGGTAAGTTAAGAAAAACTAAATAAATAAAATAAATAAATGACAGGATCTCTGAGTAAATCCAGAAAACGTACTGGACATTTTGCAAGAAAACGGCTGGATTTTGATTTTCTTTTTCCATGATTACTGGGCAGCAAATCACAAATGACATCAGGAATTTCAACACAAAGCTCTAGTCGTGTGTCTGAACTCACGGTTCAGTACATTGTGGTGCAACAACCTGGACAATGTTACAGTCGCTGAGCTAGGAGTAGCAATAAAGTCCTTAGGCATTTCTTTTAGAGGGGGGCAGCTGTTACATTCGCTTCATGGCTGTAAATTGTGGTTTAGAGAAAGGCATTGCTTTTGGGAGCTCTGAATGCTTTGGTAATGTCCTAATCAAGGCCTCTCTGTGTTTTACCCCCGTCTCTGCTCTCACCGCCTCATTCTCAAAGGTAAACATTTTCACAGCATGCAAATACCTAACTTTGTCTATTGTGCGATTCTGTGAACTCTTTCCTGTGTGTGATGGAGTGCCAGTGTGCTGCTCATGTGCTTTGGAATGCAAAAGTATTCAAATCCCCTGATGTTTTCCAGATTGTCTCACAACCCCCCCCCAAAACCACCCAGTTAAACATCATGGTCGTAGTATCATGCTGTGGGTGTTCATTCGGGGTAAATAAGTGCAACTAAGTACAAGCAATTAAATAAACATGTTAAAGGCTGCTATATATGGGAGGTTCAGCTTCCAGAGGGAAAACAAGCCAGAGTACCGGTAAGATTGTTTGGGCTAACACCTTGTGTATTAGAATGACCCAGTCAAAGGCCGGACCTAAACTCTCTAACTTCGCAAGGGGCGGTCATTTTCACTTTAAGCGAAACCCCCAGAAATCTGCCGTTGACTCTGAGCACAGAGGAGCCGCCGAGTTTCAAAGGGATGCGTGCAATTCCAGATAATCCCACAAAACCTGCAGCCCTGCCCTCGAGATTCATCCAACCGTGAAATTGAGATCGGATACAACACCGAGAGGGCCTTTCTAAACAGCAACACAAAGATAAGATACGCCAAACACCAGCGAGCACACAAAGTCGGTTGCACGCGGTCCGTGTTGGAGCAGACTTGCCCACGTGAGCCAACACGCAGTGACAGATAACATGAATTCAAACAAAAGATTTCCACATACAAATTCACACGAGTGCTGGAAGTCCGCTACATAAAACACGCCTCCAGAATTTAATCTATTCATCGTGGAAAGCCAATCACCTCAGTGTCATTGTCCTTGCCCCGTTTATGCACCGTGTACACTCGATCCGTAAGGTTATTTGCAGGTGCCGCTGAGGAACGGTGAGCTGGCCCGTAGAGGGTTAAATGTGGCAGAGGTGAAATGGAGCATTGCCTTTATCAGAGGTAATTTTCTAGCTCTCCAGTTCTATTGTCCCTTTTAAGAATACTCCGTCGAGATCCTTACTTCTACTCTAAATAACATTTTAGATTCATCTGAAAAGATTCAGAGAGAAGAAGAAGAAGAAAAAAAAAGAAAGAAAATTGAACGGATAACGAATACTCAGTCCATGGACAGAATCCAAACATGATGCCATAATGAATGAGGGACTTACTGCCGAATCCTTCCCTGCCCACTTGCATTCATCCCTCTTGGAGGGGGTGGCGGGCCACGCAATCTGTGCAAAAAGGAGAAAGACAAATTCACGTTAGAATGGAGGTTGAGAGAGAGACGAATGTGTCCTCTCATGAGACGAATGCAGGGAAACCGTAAGTCCTCAGTGCAAATCGGGGGGATTTCAAAGGGGAGCATTTCCACTCAAATTCAGCTGAATTTGCCTTGAAGCGATCCATTTCAGGTCACTATACAACGTATTCCCGATAACGAGGCGAAAACAGCTCACAGGAAAGCAAATCGAAATGAATAAGTTTCACAAAGTAAAACATGCCAGGTGTTTTGTTTTTTTTCTTTCTTTTTTGTAAAATACACTGAAAGCGATCAGAATATTCAGGGGTGTCAGCAGCTGTTCTCATTCGAATTTCCTCTCGTTAAAAATCTTAAACATGAGGTTGTACTTTTCACTTCAAATATGGTCAGAAAGTTGTGTTTTGCAACTCGACTCGGAGGAGTTTGATCTCACCATTATTCACATGTGGCCCCTGGTGTCGCATTAATTGTGGACACACTGAAGGAATAAGCTGCGTTTAAGTAAATCTAGGATGATTATGCTCTCAAGACGCAGTTGTGACAGAGACTTCCCCCCCACCCCACTCTCCTGGTCACACAGATGTCAGTAGACAATGGAAATATATGCACATACATGTTCATGCATTGATACATTCTCACATTTCCTTAGTCCAATAATGTGCTGCATCTCCTCTGTGGATCAGCTGCAGTTTGTTAACACGAAAACCTGTGCAGCTTTTTGGCATTTTCCTGTAATGATGCTAAGCAACGCTTGTAAACAAAAGAAAAAGAAATTCAGGGACACATTTCCTCCTCTTTTTTTTTTTTTCTTTTACATGGGTATGCATTTTTCATCAGTTTCTTCTCCCTGTGCAGCTCCCTGCAGCCTGCAGGCAAGTCCATGTCAGACCCGTGTGTCTGATAGCAGCCCGAATCAGATAAAAAGACCGTTAACCTAGTCCAGGTGGAGTAATGGAATTACGAACAGCCGTGTCTGGACCGAGACAGACGGTGGGCGGAATGAAGGCAAAGAGAAAGGGAGATGAAGTAATGGATTCCAGAGGGGATTTGGGCGGCAGAGGAGAGGCGATTTAACTCGAGCGCGTTTCTCTCCAACACACAAATACCACCAAACTTCAGACTGAAGGGGAGGTTTGGAGTTTTACCTGTTTGTGGTCTCTGTTTATGTTGACTAAGTCGAATGAGAAGACGTAGTCCTCAGCTCCAACCAGCAGTCTCCCTCGCTCCTCGTCCAATAAGAATGTGTCGTAGCCCGAACTATTTGCCAGGCCATTAAAGGTAAGGAGGTTACTGGATTCTAACATTTCTGAAAGAAAGAAGTACAAACAAAGAATCACAAAAATGCAAAGATGAATTTCAAGTACAAGTAGTGCCAGTAAATATATTGCAGCTTGCTAACATTCTGCTTTTTTAGTATCTGGGTAAAAAAAAAAATGTTATAAATATATATATATATATATATATAGCTAATCGTGACGTGAGGCACTGCAAAATTATAACCAAGGAAATTGCATGTTTCATTAATGTCCACATAAATATTTGCAGGCGCTCACAAACCGAAGCGTGCCATTCAAGTCCGGCATTAGCAGTTTTAAGAGCGCACAGCATGTCACAATCAGGAACCGAGCTCAGGCTGCTCAGCCGTGTGATTGGCTGAATAATTCATAATGGAGTCAGAAACAGTGGAAACACTTCATGTAAGGAATCATGCGTGGGTGGGTTTCATGTATCTGCAAATAGGTTATTACATAAATTACCATTAAGGGGATTTAGGACTGCAGATGCACTTCTGCACAATGTTTCATTTAGACGTACAGGTTCGTGTAAGGTATGAGATGTCGATGCGTCACAGAGCAGAGAAGAAAACCAAGAGCAATCTGTGGCCTTTAGGTCCAGCTGCTACTTCATCCCTAAGTTAAAGTTTAATCACCAAATCTGGGTTTCATCAGCTATGAGGAAGCTTAGAGCTGCAGTAAGAAAGCCAACAAAAGAGACCACTTGTTTTCACAAAAAACTAGTTGAGACAAAATGGAAATAAAATTACAGAAACGGATTTCCGTTCAATGCATAAGTCCCTGATAAGTGACTGCTGTGGCTTTTTGGGGTTTTCTTTTCATCTGCAATTAAGCAACACATTCGAACTGCTTAGTTGCAATTGCTTAGTCGGTGTTTGGGCACAAATTAAAATAAATTATTGTTACTAATAGAACTGATGTAAAAAAATATATAATTGATGTGATGGAGTTTTACACCTCTTTTGCTTTAGTGTAATTCATTTGATAAATTGATGTTCTAGAGTACAGGGACTTATGAAATAATATATATATATATATATATATATTTTTTTATATATATATATTTATATTTTTTTTTTTTTTTTTTTTATGGAAGAAAGTGTCACAGTTCTTCAAGCACATTCAATCAGATGTCCTGAAATTTTTCTGGTACTATCCAGGAAAGAGACTCAAATGTCCCTTTAGGCCCACCATGAGGCTGGATGGTTAAATGATACCAACTGGAAAACCTTTCAGTCAATTTAGAAGACGAGTCAAGTGTGTGGCGAATACCAAAATTTAGAATCGAGCTATAAGCACCGACCATGCATACTATTGAATCAGTGGCAATATGTTAAAGGAGAGGAACCAGGACAAAACTCTGAGGCAAACCAAAGGAAAAACTCAGAGAAGGGGCATGACTGCTGTCTATTAAGCCATTTGTTCTGGATTCTTGTTCTGGAAACTTTAATCAAATTAGGTTTGATTTGTCCCTCTGGAGATTTGTACTGGGCAAAGTTGATCTGTTTTAATGATTTTTGTGGGGAAAATTCTCCATTTTAACCAGAACCAGAAAAGGAGATGAACAGAACAGAAAGGACATTTTTGGAATTATTGGACTGCAAGTTGTTATAAAGCTGTTGATTATTTAAAAGCAAAACTTTGTTTTGATGCAACATGCTTTAGTGGCATGTTTCTCGAAACTATTTTTAAGACAGTAGCTTGAGCAAAAATCTGCTAAAGTCAAGAACCATACTGTGTAAATAAACTAAAAAAAAAAAAAAAAATCATAGTTAAATTTTTAATACACATTTCTATAGTGGATAGCAAAGGTTAGTTGTATTTATGTATCTAAGATATTCTAGATACGAATTTTTTTTTCACAATAATAAGGTGCAAAATGATGTTCTGAAACTGGCAAGGCAGTCTAAAACTAAATGTTGTAAAAAAAAAGAAATAAAAAAATGACACATTTATTCATGTTTTACTGAATACAGAACATGTAAAAGAAATTAATATATCAAGCGTCACCATCAGCATGAAGATTGGACACCAAAGACATTGATTCATGACATCAGAACAAGCACAACCAAATAAATACACATAAGAGAAACAGCCCAGTCAACTCTTCCTACAAAACGCGGCTTGATGGGACGTTATAGAAGCCATCTGCAGCCGGTCACAGTGCGTAAGATCTTGGACATCTGTCCACATGAAAGAAGGAAAGGGAGACGGATGAAGGACGCGGCATTTCTCTCCGCTTTGAAAGAGCAGCAGGCGGGTGGCATGGGGTTGCGAGAGGGGCGTGGTTGTCACCTAATAAAGATGGCTGCGCCTTATCCACGTCAGCTGAATTCGGGCTCGAAGGAAGCAGAGCGGGTGGATGTGGGTACGAGTGGTGGTCTGTGGTCAAGAGTTTGCGTGAACATTTGTAGAGTGGCCGGAGAAGGGAATGCGTGTGGGCCTCAGGGTGGAGAGATCGTTACTCTGTTCCAATATGCTGCCATCCGCAAACACGTGGCTACCATAACTGTCGCCACTTCACTTCTACCAGATTGGGATTATTTAGAAAATGCATAGATTTAAGAACTTTGATTCAAAGCTGCTTTTAAGCAAGCAACCCGAATCTTAAGAAATGTAGAGAAACTGATGATGTGTTTAGATAGGAAGTCAAAAAGAAGCACAAGGATACAAGAAGCCTATTTCTGTGTTATATAGAGACAAGTCTTCAGGTTGATTCAGACTTGGTGAGAGTCGGATTTAAATCAGACAACAGGTAAGCAGAATGCAGTACAGAAAATTCGCTTTGCATTCTGACTTTGAGAAATCAACCTCCATCAAGTGGGAAATATGGAAATATGATTTTTAGTCAGAGTGGCAAGAAGTCATCTTATGTTTCAGCAATGAAAAAGTGGAATGGACATGGCAAAAGGAAAAACTCGACAAAGAACAACGAATTACATCTAGAAGATTTTGGGATGGCAAAGGAGAAACAGGAAAGTTTGAATACGCAGCTGAGAGTTGAAGCAAATCGATGGGGGGGGGGGGAAGTTGTCCTGCAAAGTCCGTATGTGACGACCCGTGTGATGTGAAAACAAGCTGAATCCAGGAGCTAATCCAACATGAACTCTGTCACGAAAGGTTTCCTCCAAATGAGCCGAGGTATAGAAAAAGAAAGAAGGAAAGAAAAAAAAGAGAGACAGACATACATCTCTCGACATGTGGTGATCTTTGACAAAGACAAGGTGGCCTGTGCGCACGAAAACACAGAAAGGGCTTTATCTGGACTGAGATCTACTGCGGTTTGGGGGGG